TATATATATATATATATATATATATATATATAAATACATGCAAAATACTCTAGCAATTGATCACTTTGAAATGAAATCACTTTGACAGCTTAGCTAGAATGTTGGGTAGTTTCTTTTTTAATTAATAAATGATTAGTGATTTATAAACTCATATATGAAACGGACAAACACACATACCTCTGCACATGCACACAGAAACATACACACGTTTGTAAATTATATATAGTTGCTAAGCTTAAATATTTGTAGATATACATAGCTAATGATTTTTTGATTTTCTTTGTTTTTTTTTTGCCTAAAATGGTTAAGGACGCCCTAATTTTTGGTGTTTGATTTGTTGTTTGCTGTTGTTGTCGCTGCACTCGTGTTCGTTGTTTAGCTTTAAAGATTGATGGTGTCCAGGTCTTGGCAGGGCGCACGTGGACTCAGTTCGTCGGTGCTGGCGCTGCCCTGATACGTATCGCCGATGGCGCGCCCGTCGTGCCTGATGTCCGCCATCGACGAGTGGACCTGATTATTTTGATTGTGCCGCAGATTCGTGTTGTTGTTGTCGTTGGTCTTAATGCCGCCGCTATTGCTCGTGTGGTTTTGCTGCTTATTGTTCATGCCATCCACTGAGACGGCTACGCTGTTGTGCAGCGTCTGTGATTTCTTGGTGCCCAGACCCAGCGGAAAGGCGAAGTCCTGCGGCATCTTGTGCATTATCTTGCCCGACGTGATCAGCCGGCCGAAGCCCTCCTGCAAAAAAAAAAACATATACAGAATACATGTGGGTGCGTCGCAAAAATGATATCTAACCGCATCTGCACTCACCTGATGCGCAAATGCGTAGCCCGACCGCACGGAGCGGCGTCCACGGCGCGAGGAGGGTGTGCGGCGCACATCGCTGGAGACGCGCGAGTGCACCTTCTTCAGGGACTTTTGACGAATCTGTAAAGCAAATTTGGGTTAAGCGAATCAATAGAAGAACCTTCTGGCAGCTGCTCACCTTGTCGGAGAGACTGGGGTGGACGTCGAGCAAGTAGAATTTGTAGGCGAGCACCGGCGCCATCAGCATAACGACTGTGATTAGCATGGTCATCCAAAAGGTTAGATCCTTGATGGCCTGCGTCAAGGATCCCACATAAGGTCCGCCAATTACATAGTTGTAGAAGTAATCCAGCACGAAATACCAGATGAGGCTGCCCCATATGGTTATGTGATTGACTATAGTCCAGTACGAGGTATAGAGCGCAATCTGGTAAATGGACGATGGAAAAAGAACCTTTGAGAGCTGTTATCACGAACCAAGTCGGGTGTTATCACCTGCGCCGTATTGTCCACAATCAGTATGGTGGCCACGACAGCGCCGAGCGTCATGTGATCGCTCAGTATGTACCCATTGTGCGAGACACCGTCCTTGTAAACGCCATACGGTATAAGGAACAGGATGAGCGACGTGAATGCTCCGTGAAGCACGCTGTATATGAACTCACGAATGTTAAACAGCTCGCTTTTTAGGCCTGGCGTATATAGTCGTGGGTACTCCACGCTATTCTTATCCGACACGTCCTGCTCAAAGACGCCCAGTGCCAGGACTGGCAGTGATGTATAAAATAGATTGTACACCGATATGAACATGGGATCGAACACGGTCTGAGAGCATTAAAGATATTATATTAGTATTATTATTTATTATATTTGATATTCTAAATTTTATATCCCAATTTGAAGCTTCTAGCTCTTAAACTGTAGAAGATATACCCTTTTGCGGTTTGCCACCCCTCTGAGGGCGGAGATATATATATATAAATATATATGTAAATATTATGAATAACGTCCAGACAATTTATATTTGCATTCTCGTTATTGAACTTAATGAATTAATCATCGGTGGGGGCTCACCTGTGCACTGAAGCCACAGAAAAGGGAATACCAGCAGTGGCAAAGCGTAAATGCAAAATTTTTGTAGAAAAAGTAGCGTAGAAACTTGCACATGCGATAGTAGGACCAACGTCCGTGCACCAGCAGCAGACGCTCCAGGTGGCAAAACTGGGCAATGGCATAGTCGCTGGAGAGGACCGCCTGGAGGCCCTCCTGGCCCGAGATGCCCACGCCAATGTGTGCAGCTGGCGAGTAAAAGACAAAGTTTAAACAACTGTGTGTGTGTGTGTATGGGTGTGGACTCACCCTTGATCATGGAGACATCGTTGGCACCATCCCCAATGGCCAGTGTGACAGCATTTTTGGCACGCTTAATGAGTTCGACAACCAGCGCCTTCTGCAGCGGCGTCACTCGGCAACAAATTACCGCCTTGCACTGCGACGCAATGTCCAGGAATCTGAGTAAAAGAGTTTAGAGAATGAGCAACGTGTATCTATCGATAATCGTCACAAGATAGATAAAGGGAAACGAAATTTAGAAGAAGTATTAAATTGAACGATCTGTATATCAATAAATTGGTAGGTAGATTAAGAATATCTCTCAGAATGTCTACATCTATTAGCACACACTTATAAAGAACCACTATCGAAGGCAGATTGAAACAAATCTCACATCTGATCTGATGATATGTGCTGAATTCCAGTAGGAGTTAAGTTAGATATGTTTTCTACTGCATAATATTTGAATCCACAAGAATTAATGCTGTTAATAAATGGAATTATCAAATACAACCTTAAGTTGAGGTGCGTTTCAGGATAAAGTAACGGAGGAGGCTGCTGACTGTGGTCTGCATACGCGTATACCAGATGGTAAAATTATTATTTTTACTTACTTGCTCTCCAGTTCTGGCGACAGACAATGAACTAGCGAATGACCATTGACCACAAGAGCGAAACCAGTATTCTCGTCCGCGATTACCGATGGTGCAGTGCGTCTTCCTTCCGAGTTCTTCTCAGGATCTCCAAAGATATCATTGCACTCGGCGCTGTTCGTGAGTGTGAGTTTGAGAGAGTGAGAGAATACGGCGTAGATTAGTTATACGTTTCAAACGAATCGTTGGGTGGTGTTTGGAAGTGTGGAATGTAAATAGTATGAATTGTATTGGATGAATTACATAAATTGGTAAACAAGAACAACAGTCGATAATACATGTGGAAAGCAGTTAAAGAAATTACTGGGTTAGACAGAAAGGGAGAGCAAGTTACGATATTCGACATATGATATACGACGATATATAATAAACAATATACGATGCACGACATAGGCTACATGATATACGATTCACAATACACTAATAAGATGCATGGTATAAGACATACGATATGCTATATACGATGATTGATGCACATATGTATATTTATATATACCATATACAATATAGAATATATGATATACCACATATGTTATACGATATTCAATATATTTAGCTATAGATACATAATTCTATAGCTCTATATTTCAAATTAATTATAGTGATATTAGATATGAGCAAGCCACAACAACATAAACAACGAGTAAAACTAAGGATCGAGATTTAAATTCGATTTTCAGCATGAGAAGTGTATGTTTTATTTTGGCCTAAGCTTTGAATTTGTTTTGGACTTAGTTTAGTTTTTGTTTTGATACGGCATTTGCAAGTTTCCGTCTGTTCTTGTACGTAAATGAAATATGATTGTGGTGACAAAACTGACAGAACTCAAACAATGCACATTAAATTTTGATTATTGTCATGAAGAACAGAAAACAAGTTGTATTATAAAAATTGTGTTTTTTGTTGTTGTTTACTTGACGGGCGGAACAAGTACCAATAGAGGGTAACATCCTTGGGTTTACTATTAAAAGATACATTAAGAAATAATTTTTTTGATCTATTTTAAATTCTCGCCTTTTTTTTTCGTTTTAATCTTTCTACCAATCAAACGATAAGATACTATAGTAAGCTGAAAACTATAAAATTACTTTAAGAGTGGATCTGCTAGTAAGAGAGCGAGAGATAGAGGGAAAGAAAGAGAAGTCTAGAGACAACCGAAAAGATAAATTAAAGGTAAGTGAAAAACAGAAAAATCATATATTGTTTAGAAACAAAACTAGTTAATAAAACCTTTAAACAAAATTATATAAAGAGAGATATAGAGAGGTAGATACATAGATACATTGACATAGTTAGCAGTAAATACAGGGTGACTTTCTAGCTGCGCTTTGGTGTCATATCTGGTTTAGCTTCACTGCATCTAGAATCTTAATAAATTGTTTTGAGTTTTCTTTTACATATTTTTTTTTAAATTATTTCTTTGCTTGAATTGAAAATTTTGAAATTTGCTTTTTGGAGTGCCCTCTACCTGTCCGGTCCGCCCTTATTATCCTTAATTTTGGCATCCCACCTAAAGGTAACCACCGATATGGCTGGCGGCGGTGGCATGGTCGAGCCGTTGGCATCCTGCATAAATGCAGATGTCTGCGTCATGGCAACGCTCATCGGGTCCATGCTACTGTCGCTATTGAAGTTATTCATTGCCTCGGTACCTGAAATACGCTCATGCTACAGTAGATTTATTTACTCTAAATTTGGGCATTTACCGCCTGGCCGGAAGCGATCAAATATTTTGATGGACTCCTTAAACTGGCGCAGCTGCTTCTCCACCTCCTCGACAGAGTTGCCGTCTACAATAAACACATCCACGAGTTCGTCAGTGAGCAGCTGGCAGGAGTATCCAATGTTGATAGCCGTCTCTACCAAGAAGATGAAAGTGTTTGAACGCATTGGTCAATTGGCTAGGAGTTGATATTGAATGTACCTTGCTTGTCGCCAGTGAGAACCCAGATCTTGATGCCCGCATTCTGCAGATTCGCTATGGACTTGGGCACGCCATCTTGCAGCTTGTCCTCGATGGCCGTCACTCCCAGCAGCTGCATGCCACTCTCCACCTCCTCGTAAATGGCATTCAGCTTCGATTCGCGCGAGTCCATGGACAACGCCGCCTCCTGCTGTCGCGATCGCCAGTCGTTGTAGTACTGTTCGGACAGACGACGTTCCGCCAGCACCAGAGTGCGTAGACCCTCTCCGGCGAATTTCTGTGAGAGGTCTGCGTTGAACGATATTCAATTTACGACAATGAGTACTCACATTCAGATGATCTTGGGTGCGTGCCTTAAGATCCTCCTGCCCGCTATGCAAGCGGTCGTATATCACGTTGTCAGCGCCCTTGCAATAGAGCACCACAGAGTTGCCACGTCGCAGGATGACGGACATCCGCTTGCGCACATTGTTAAAGTCGAGTATGTGCAGCAGTTCGTATTCCTGCGTGTATTCGGTATAAGATATTCGGTACGAGGAGTTATTCGGTAGATCACTTACCTCTATGCGACCCATTACTTCGATGGTAATACTGTTCGGTGTGCGCGTGCGGAACACAAAGCCAAAGTTGCGAGCGGCCGAGACGAGGGCCGCCTCGTCGGGACTTTGCGCTTGGTACTCCAGGCGACCGTCTACGGTCTCCGCCATAACAGTGTGGCACAGGGCGAGCAGTCGGAAAAAATTCTGCGAGTGCTCCTCGTCGGACCGCACCGCGTCCAGCAATGTGCGATCGTACCACCGAAAGTCGACCTCGTGATGCGGATTGGCCGAAAAGTCAACCGGTTCGAGCATCTAAAAGTGGATCGAATAGGATTATTTTCGACTTGCTCCACATGCACATTGAACTTTGGGGGTTTCAAGTGACTTGTTAGCGTATTTCAGTAAGATAAATGTTTATACTTGTAAGCAGTTAATCTCGGTAGAAAGCAGAGGCAGGCACCAACTTCAAATTAGAATACGTTAAGGAGATTTACGATAGCTTAGCTGGGAATAAGATGGCGTGATTAGTTTCGATAAGGGTGTTATGTATTACACATAAATATGGCTTCAACAATAATTACGATATTGAATAGTGCTAACGAGCATTTCGAAAATAAACTGCTCAAATATATAGTCAGGGGTAATGGACGACATTATACGCGATACGACATTCGGCATGCAGTAAATACTATTTCACATACGATACTCATCGAATGCAAACATTGAAAAGCCTTAATACGATATTTGAGTTAATTGATACCTAAAACGATATGGAGCAAAGTTGGGATATTGGTAGGACACGACGGATAAGAGGGATTACGATGTATTTTCAATAAGCTTACGATGCATTTATGCAATAGTTAATTAGCACTGGGGTTGATCAGCTAAAGCAGTTCTATATCGATGTATGCATGTATGTGTATGTATGTAAATACTTCTATTCGTATAACCAGTTAAGCACAGAAATAACCAGTTAAGCATATAAAAACTTATAGCCTAAACATTCAATACAATTAGATCAAGCTGAATACGGGTTCGCATCACACACACAAACACTTTCTCACACAAGCACGCTCTGTTTTTCTCTCTATCACACACACACACACACACACACACACGCAGTTGGGATCACACTGAAAGCCAACATATCGTAATATATATATATATGAATATAATTCTAGACAGGATTTGGTTTGCGAACAAGAGGACAACATGCATACGTGCACTTTTTGGTGGGACGAACTCCAATTAGTGGCAAAGCGGTGGGTGCTTAGATAACGGTGGTGTGCGTTAGTGGTGGTGCTGCTGCTGCTGCTGTTGGTGTTGATGTTGGTGTTGGTGTTGGTGCTGCTGTTGCAGTTGCTGTTTCTGCGGCTGCTGTTGTTTCTCTCGCTATTTCTATGGCTGTGGTGGTGCGGTCGAAATGGAGCGCAGCAACCGCTGCCGCTGTCAATGGCTGATGTCTCGCATTCGGTGGCGGATGATGCAGATGGCATTAAATTAAATTTGACCAGCTTGCGGTTAGTTTTCTGTTCGTGTTGTTGTTTCTGTTGTTGTTGGGGGTGGTGCGTGTGTTCTGGTTGATTGTCATGTAAGATTATTACTTTGTCGCCGCTGACGCTGCCACTGCCGCAGCTCGTGGAGAGCCCCTCGGAAAGCTGACGACGCATGCGCTGCCCACTGCGCGTGAAGCAGGGACCCAAGCCGCTGTTGGCGCTGGGACTGCCACTGGGGCTGGCACTGCGACTGCCGGGAGCGTCCTTGCCCCCGCCGGGATCGTCCACGTCGTCCTCGTTGGCCACACTTCGGCTGGGAGACAGGTAGTGCACCTGCTTGCGTGCCAGCGGATTCTCCATTGTGCTGATCGCCGGCGTCGCCTGTTCGCTGGCTATACGGCCACACAACTCATCCGGACTTCTAGCCAGTTGGGTGCCGCCATCTTGGGTGACTAGCAAGGCGCTTTTCTTCGCATGCACCTCGGCTGTGTGCACTAATATGGTGGGCGGGGCCGTAGGCGTGGCTGCCGTCGATGCGCTGCTGCTGCGCTTGTTGACGCCGCTGCTGCTTTTGCTGTTGTTGCTGTTGTTGCTGTTTTTGCTGTTGTTGCTGTTGCAAGTTTGGAAAAGTGTTTGCTGCTATAACGAGTAATGTGAGTTGGTGGCTTGCTGGGCACACAATTAAATAGAAAGACACACAATATCTACGAGTTATGGACTACGGTGCTTCAGCTCTCTTGCCATTGCGAATTTTCGCTGTCGCAGCGACTTCTGCCGCCCCAGTCAATGCAATCTGTTATCATTCGTTCGTTCGTGCTTAGTTCAACATTCTTCTATTCGCAGACCATTCTCAAATAGTTCAACTATCTAACAGGTAATTTTAGTTAAACTGAACCGGCTATAAGGAGCAACTCTTCAATATACAATATGTTGTTGAGCTTATGCCAATCGAAATTGTTGATTTAAAACAGAAACTTAATGTAAACTCTCTATTGCAATTGGATTGTATAGCATGTATATATATATAGATATATAACTAGTGTACAACACTTGTATAGAGTTTTGTCATGTATGTCAGTTACGAGCATAATTTAACAGTTGTGTAACAGTTATGCAGCCCATGTCAAAAAACTGTATTACAGTAATATAATTAATGCACAATTGTTGCGTTCTAGTAAAATGACTACGGTATAACAGTTGTATAACATACATACCGATATCTGTTATATAACATGTGCAAGACAGTCATGAATAGCTGACGTTAATCATAATATATCTAACACTTGTAATCTACGTAATACATATACGTTATTTGCATCGTCTGCATATCTATTCAGAAGAGTTTCCAAACTTTAGAACGAAAAATCTTTCAAGTCTTCTAGTTCACGTAAGCTTTTCTCTTGTTGACTAGTGTTTGTTCTTGAAGGTACAGGTGAAAGGCAGTAACTGTGCCCCGTCTTTTTACTGGGGCGATTGCACAGTGCACACACACGCAGACATACAAGATGCACACACAGATAGAGGACCAGCACCCAAAGTAACCCAACGCCCCATGGCCATGTATTGTTAGAGTATTGCGTTTAATTGGTTAAAATCCAAATTGGGAAAAAGGGAAAGTGAAATGGGAGAAGAGGGAACTCACCTCAGTTATTTCAATGAGCTCGCCGGTGCGCAGGTCAATGACATCCCCATAGGTTCGCCCGTTAATGCTGCACTTGTTAAAGGTCATTATGTTCTGGGTGAGGGTGCCCGTCTTATCCGAGAAGATGTACTGTATCTGGCCCAGCTCCTCGTTGAGCGTGGTGGTGCGTGCTTTGGCATATGTTTGAGTACGTGCATAATACATCTCCTCGTCCCAATTGATGAGGAACGACTGAGCAAAGCGTATGACCTACACAAGCAAAAATTCAAAATATCATATATCACACATAGACAAACGAAGTATATATAGAAAATAGCCCAGGGATGGGCTCTAAATCTCAAATAACGACCTTTGCAATTTTGGCAAATTAGCCTAGTGAACTTAAATCATATTAAAATATCCTTCCGGACCCTGAAGCTCATATTTTGCGTCCAATTCTATTTGCTCAAAGTGATACCAAGGAATTAATTTTGAGTTGAGAATCACACCGAATATAAATAAAGGAAAGGATTCTACAGACATGGTTATACCCTTTCCCTAGTTAAGAATAAAATAATAGATAAAATAGATTAAATAGAAAAAATTAAGAACTTGATAACTTTTACGAGGGTCTAATAGTTAGTCAGTCAGGTATACGTTGATGTCTTTAAAATATTTATATCACGCCTATACATAGTTCAAATTTAAGTACTGACCTCTACTGAAACATAGAGTGAAATTGGCACAACTGTGTTTAAGACTATGGCGTACGAGAAGAAAACGAGCAGCCCAATGACCGTGGCACCGGAGGCAACCATCTCCTGTGGTATGATGTGTTCCCAGGGCAAATATAGCTGGAAATGCTGACCGATCAGGCCCTCCCAGATGGCGCAGCCCAGCGCAAACAGCGCACAAATCGAGACCAGAAAGAGCACAATCTGCAGGAAAAGGCGAGCAAATGTTATTCGACGATGGTCTGATTAGATATATATGCCGTGGCTAACCCCAATGATGATAAAGTTGAGCAGGCGGTCGACTCCGGTGCTCTTGAACTGCGTCTTGCCCGAGTTCTGCATCAGCTTGGTGTCGACGCCGGCAAAGACCACGACACCGTAGCACCACTGCGTGTTGCGCAGAACACAGCCACGCAGCAGAATCTTGTCGTTGTCGAGTGCGAAGCGCTGATTCTTCCACATGAGGGTGCCCTCGAACTTGTTCAGCAGATTGTTGGGTCGCTCGCAGATGATCTCGCCGTTAAAGTTCCACAGCAGATCGTGCTGCTCGCCCAGCTCCGTTGTCTCGATCAAGCATTGCTTGGCCTTCAGGTTCGTCTCCCCGTCCAGTTCGGCCGTTTCAATGAAGCAGAGTCCGTTCGGCTCCGATGTCGTCAACAGCATTATATCGGCGGCCACAAACTGATTGTTGTCGAGGCGAATCACATCGCCCACCTGGACGTCTGACCACTTGGCCTCCACCAGCTTTCCATTGCGAAGGGTCTTCGACTTGCGGTTGTTCACCTGCGAATCGGACAGATGTCGTTGCTGTCGGGAAAAGAAATGGATAGCATTAGTTATATAAACATATATAGATACATATATTTTGCATATACACTTACGATATCGTCGTAGGCATCCTTCACGGCAGTCAGCGTCAGCACCCCAATCAAGGGAATCGCTGTCGTCACCGGAGTCAGCGAGGATATCGCCGGTATCAGTTGGAGCACCAACAAGCACAGGAAATAAAAGTTCGCCAATCGCTGGAACTGTTCCAGCAGATTGAACGGCAGAAACGTCAACAGGGTATACTTCGACGTCTTGATGTAGTTGCTCTATGTGCGGGAAGGGAACAAAGACACTTACATATACATAGCTCAACTGCGCTTCACTGAAGAGATGAGTAGCCTGATATATAGCGTTGTCGGGCTGAGCTGACTAAGCTGACTAAGGCATAATTTTAATTAACTGCTATTTGAGCGTGCCCCCAGGTCTTAAATGTTACGCAGATGCTTTGATTGTACTATCTTAGGCAAACATATTTTTTTTGTACTGTACTGTTTAAAAAAATCTTCCCCGCAATGTATTTCATTCGGCTGAGCATGGGAATATATATTCTATACTGTACTAGATTATTGACATCTTGAGTCCATCATACGGATAAACATTCATCGGAAAAACAGATAGTTCGATTCAATTCAGTTGTTAGGTCGAAAAGTAAGGGTTCTATCAAGGCAGCCTCTGTCAGCTACATGTATGTAATTGCAGGAAAACTATATTCCCGGCATTCTCGTTATAAGATTATAAAGTAAGAAGGACAAGTCAGATTCAGATTCTGAAATTCACTTACGTGATACTTAAACTGAGAGTTAAAATCTTTGTCGTTAGCGCGGATTCTGCGTTCATTGTCTGCAAGAGAAAGAAAAAGAGAAGCATAGATTAGCTGAGAAATTTACCGGGATAGTAAAGATAGGCCTTAGTTCTATTAGCTACAGCCCTGTTCCCATTTACCCGAGAAGTAGTATGAGCTGCGGCGACGTCGCATTTGCGACAGACGCCGTAGATTACGAGCCGACGCCGAGGCCGAGAGCTGAGGTTGCGGGTCGAGATCTCCGCTTCGGTGGCGACTGTGCCGACGGCTGGGCAGGCTGTCGGGTGCACTGCGTCGCCAGCTGGCGAACCGTTGTAGCATGGAAAGACGCGGCTTGAACGGTGGCTGTTCTTTGTACTGCTGTTCCACATCGATGACCGCCTTGGGTTCATCCCCAGCCTCCACATTGGCCAAGCTGTAGAAGCTATCGGCCAGGTGGCTCGACGTAGTCGCTGACGATGGCATTTCCGGCTTGATGTGCGTGGCCGCGGGCGAGGCGATTGTCAGAGTTGAGTTGCCAATGTTCGTGATCTCCGGCTGGGCCAGACGCACCTGCTGCTGTTCGAGATCATGCTCCTGCTCTGGCTCCACCGCCAGCTGCATTCGCTCCTCCTCACATCGTAGCAGTCGTCGCCGTCGCGATTTACTGGCAAAATTAAACCAGCGACTGCGACGCGTCGTTGCAGCCATCGGCTGTGTGGCAGCAGCTGACCAATGGTCTACATCCGGCTCCTGTTGTTCGCGCTCCAGCTCCAGCTCCCGCTCCTTCTCCTGCTCCTGCTCCCGCTGTTGTTGTTGCTGTCTTATATCTGCACTCAGCACACCCAGTTCGAGTGTATCCGGTCTTTGGCGCGCACATTGCCCCTTCTCGCTGCACTTTCTGGTGCCGGGCATGACGGCGACTTTATATAGCTAGTTGCCTCTTCAACTCCTCATCTCTCATACCATCTTTTGATATCTTTATGCATAAATATATGTACATACATATATATCAATTGACGTTGACATTTTCTAGGTTTACCATCATTGCCATCATCGTCGTCAAATAATTGGTAGCATAGGGTTAAGACACAGGGTAAGATAAGGTAAATAGCTAAGACTTGCTTCTCTTCCCTACACATGAGAAACTAATTGTAATAAGAACAATGAAACAAGAAGAGCAACAATAAGAACAACAAGAAAAAAACAGCTGTGCAGGCCGCGAATGTTTTCCATCAATTTATTGGGCGATGGGTCGCACGCGGCGCATGAGTAATAAATAAAGTATACACGCTTTAGCCTTTGATTTGAATTTTCGGATTTGTCTTTCGTTAGCTGTAAACATCGGTGGCTATTTATTGCGCCCGAAGTACAGTGGGCACTTGCTACAACAGTAAGCCATAAACTTGAAGATATTTAGAAGTCCTTTAATTTCTTTTATGTCTGGCTAGAGTTAAAACTGCTCTCCCAATAGAAGGTTGTTGGTCATGCTTCATAAAAACATAACTGAATTGGCTAACTTCAATATTCGGAAAGTACCTGTAAGGCGTGACTACCGTAGCTGCCTGCAGTATTATTCCAACAGCAATAACAACAGGCAAAAGCCAGAAAACGGAAATCTGTTTGAAATATTTAAAATTCTTGATAGAACAATACTTCGTGCTTGGCGAACAATGGGATAACAAATTTGAAATTTGAATTAATTTCCAATATTTGTTTATTTTTCTTTATTATACCCTGAACCCATTGAAAATGGGAAATCAGGGTATAATGGTTTTGT